CCCCCCCCCCCCCCCCCCCCCCCCCCCCCCCCCCCCCCCCCCCTGTCTTGGAGGAAAATGAGTCACACCAAAGCCCGTGTCCATGGCTCAACTCTGACCTGAAACCCGCTAGATTGGAATAAACCCCCACCCCTCTCCTCCCCCATCTGCTCTTGTGCAATCAGGCTATTTTAGGAGAACATCTCCCAGCCGTCTGGTTGTCATTACAAATCACCCGCATTAACAAAGCCCACACACATTAGTCTGATTTAATTTAGCCGACTACCCACGCCCTGCAGGTATGCAACCTACACGTGCGCCGCCCGGATGATGCCTGCCATGTCCTGTTATGGCTAGCATGGTGGTCGAGTAGATCCTAAACAAGTAGGTACATTTATTTTTCATATGATCGGTTTCCACTCGGCAGCAGTAGCAGCACGCCAACGCGCAAAACCCGGAGTGGGGGAGCTGATACGACGGGAGCGCGCACCACCACCACCGCGGCGCGCATGCACAGCTGTCAGGACCAAGGACAGCAGCCGCTCAACCCGGATTGACCAGGCAGCGACGCATCGGGGGGGGTGATCAGTCCGCACAAAGCGCGCGGAACAGCGGCTGGAGGGAGTGATACACAAACCTCTGCGGAGGAAGCCGCCTGGAAGCCGAGACAATGGTTTTCACTCCTTCTTCAAAACCGTAGGGAGGTTTGAGCGAATTCTGCAGAGGAGAGCAAAAAAAAAGGGGGGGACAATGCGGTTCAGACGTCCCTTTTTGAAAGCCTGCCCCTAATATGAGCATGCACATTCCTCCGCATTGCTCATAGATCCACCTTTTCTCTCGGCCTCCCGCCCACCGCCCACCTGGATCGTGTCTGCAGTCGCGCATTCAACCGGCCGAGCCGCGCTGCTGCTCAGAAGCTGGTCGAGCCGACCCGCCACCGGGGGGAAAAGGGACCGGGCTGCGCCGTGCCGTTTGGTGGCCCACACGATGCGTCTGTTTCTGCTGGCGGTGCTCCTCTCGTGCTCCTGCGCGCGGGCCGGCTGCGAGCCGAAAATCGTGAACATCGGGGCCGTGCTGAGCCAGAAGAGATACGAGCAGGTCTTCAAAGATGCGGTGACCCAGGCCAACCAGGTCTACGGCAGGGATAAATTCAAGCTGACCGCCATCTCCGTAACGCACAAGCCCAACGCCATCCAGATGGCTCTCTCCGTCTGCGAGGACCTCATCTCCAGTCAGGTAGTTTTTCTGCCACCTTTGCATTGGCGCTATATAATCAGTCAATAACCTCTGCGCATAAATCATATGGTCCACGCACACCTCCACGCACTAAAAGCAGAGTGTTTTTGAAGGAGAAAACCATTCGTGCCTTGCAATAGAAAGTTGGTTCCTTAAGGAAACATGACCTACATGTCAAAATCATGTGTTTTCTCACTCAAGGGGCCACTGAAGTGGGTGAAAGACTAGGATGGATGGTTATGTATGGAGCCTTGAGCTCTGAATCCAGACTGTCTGCTTCTCCAAAGCCTCACACTATTCAGCATGAACATAAAAAGAATCAGCCCACTTTACTACAGGCCTGCCATTTGTCCAATCTGGCACCCTGCACTGCATTTGCACACAGTCCACTTTGTGTTCGTTCTAATACAGCGAACTCCCCACGGACCCATCTATTTTTTTTACAAACATCCACAAATAGGCTCTGGTTTGGGGCGCATCTCGGATGAGAGGGCAAACTAACTGTACGTTCCAGGACACACAGCTGCACGTCCACTGAACCGCGAAGGAAGCAGCGAAGAGTGAAAATGTGCAATACGTCGCATACAATTAAACAACTTGGCTTTCACTGCGCGCGTGTGCGTGCGTGTGTGTGTGCATGATACCGTGTGCATGATAGGACAGCGGGGCTGACACAGCGGAGGACAGTTTTCTATATGTGGGTCTTGAGGGGTGGATCACTCGCTCAGCTGCAGTCTATATGATGTGATGCTGTCGGTAACACGAACAGCCGTTTATTTTTTTTAAAGTATAAGATTAAAAAGTACAACAGAGGCAAATATTCACACCGCGCGTGCTGCAGATCTAACTAACAAAACATATTTCATCAGTAATGCATGGAAGTGTATGTGCCTTTTTGAAAGTTGTATATATAATAGCCAACGTTATGTCACACAGGATGTTGAGGCGTGAAGTCCCTCTCTCGCTCCTCTTTCTCCCACACACAGAATGAAGTTTCATGCGAACAAAAACGCCCCCACAGCTCCAGTGCTGCTTTCATGTCCTCGGTCTTCTGCTTAGTGTAATGACTCTAATTGATGCAGGCTTGTCGAATTTTAACCATCGCACCCAGTCTCCTGTCACATGCTCATCCAGAGCGCGAGCGCGCAGTCCGTCCCACGAGGCCGTACGGCTTTCACCAACAATGGTCCGGCCCCCTCTTAAAAAACAAACCTATCTCTTGCATAAATCAGACAGACATCGCACCTTATTTAGACAGAAGGTCCGTGGACGGGTTTAATTAGATGAGATTGGCTCGCGGGCGATAACAGTTACTGAGAAGGGAAGTCTGTGGCAGATGGAGGAGGAGATGCCTGGGAGCAGTCCTTGGATGATAGACCTCATTTTTGACCCAGCCATACGGACTGCTCATATCCAGCAATCCATGCCTGCATGCACGGCCATGCCAGCTTTATATTCCTCTTTCTTCACAACTCCGAGACATTTCTCAAGGCTCAGCTCGCAGAATCTTTCTTTTTCTAAAGTGCGTGGCCAGTTTTGGTTTGCTTAAAGCACGGATTAGACTAAACCCAACAACCACAAATTAATGATAGTCTGCCAGCCCACACACAGGGAAGACATTTCGAACAAAGGAACAGATTTCTTTGCTCTTCTGGTTCTTTGTCTCAGGGGAATTTTTGAAGATATCCAGATTCAAAAATGTTATTTTTAACCTGTTATACAACAGTTTAGAGCAGCAGTTGCACCCACTAAAATATGACAATCTTTTATTTAAAGTGCACACAAATTTCATTTGACTTGAGCAAAACAGGCAGGCAAAACGGACGGATGCTCAGGGGTCCCAAATGCCCTCAGTTAGTGATCATTTTATTCATTCTTATTCATCTAAAATGTATTTAAGTCCTGGTCGAGACAGCAGCAGCACATTAAACAAAGTTTCAGACATACAGCAAGTAGCAGATGAAGAGAAAAACATTTCAGGTCCCGCCATGAATTAGATTAATTGTATATAGTTATCGTCACTCCTGCCTTTGTACCTAATCTTGTTGTTCTGTTTTTGAAAACAGTGTATACTTGAATAAATTAGAATTTGTTCCGCCAATATAAGATGGTGAACGTGGGAGAACTCGAAACACTCTCATTTTGTGCCCTCGCCGTTAACCCAACCCTGGTTAACTGATCTCAGCTACGCTGAAATGAACTTTTCATATACCGTGCATATCAAATCCTGTTTCATGTTAATAATTCTAAGGCATTCAATACAGTAGCAGTAAACACATGGTTAACGTTGTGAATTCAAACTGAAACACTGAGGTTAGGCAATAAAACCACTTAGTTAGCTTTAGGAAAAAAAACATCATGGTTGGGCTTAAAATGTATTCTTAGTTTTAAGCAACAAGACCACTTAGATAGGTAAGATCAACGGAAAACATCAGAAACATAATTACCTTTGGGAGATGAACACTGGTCTCCTAGTTGAAAGTCCCGTGTTTGTTGTTTTTTACTGCTACGTGATGATGCCAATGATGATGGGTTGACATTGCAGTTACATAAAAGCTGTCTCAAACAGACTCTAAAGGGTGCCTTGTGCGTCGCTATCAGACGCCCTGGGAATGAGAACAAGCTGGTGCATTAAGTCCTGTTGTTGTTGTTACAGCCTACAAGAAGAATATGCACTAGTCTTATTGTCGTAGTTGCTTGATACTAATGTGAGAATTTAGTTTTATTTGATTTACTAAGAAGGATAAAGTGCGTTTTGCAGCTTCCCACATGTGTATTTTTGTACATGTTTTCTGCAAAAATTATAAAACTATATAAGACTATAATATTCAAGTCTAAATTGGACACCTTTTGAAACTCAAGTCTTTATCAGAGAGCGAGTAGCAGTGTTTTCATTTGGCCTCAATGCAAGTGTCAGAATGACTAAGTGCTGTTCTTCTGTGCCTCTGCAGGTCTACGCTATCCTGGTGAGTCACCCTCCCCAGTCCAATGACCACCTCACTCCAACGCCGGTCTCATACACTGCAGGCTTCTACCGCATCCCTGTGGTGGGGCTCACCACCCGCATGTCCATCTACTCAGACAAGGTGAGTGACGGCCGAGAGATAAAGATGCCAAGAGAGGCAGAGAGAGTGAGAGAGAGAGAGAGGACAACAGGAAGAGAGTGAACGGAGAGCGATCGAGTGAGGAGCTCCCCTGGGGCGGCTTCAAGCGCTTCCTAGATTAAACGTCCCATCACTGTCCATTAGAGGAGCTGTGATTAAATGGGTTTCCAGCTGAAAATTGAAAGGACATCATTATTAATGCCTTTGACCTGAGTTATGTTTTTTATGAAGCACAAGCCACTAAAATGAAAACTTTAAAGCAATCACATAAAGAAAATGACAAGGACTTTAATAACTCAATTTACAGTCAATTTGAGTGACACCTCTTCTAATCTTGCAAGTTACGGGCATTAAATTTAGTCGTTTAAAGGAGCCCGAGTGGTCTGTGCATATATTGAGGCTGCTTTTTTTTACATGATGTTTGTACTTTAGTGAGTTGGTTTGGTTTGTACCACCCAAAAACTGCATCATTAATGCACGTTGTCCCTAGAAAAAATATTGTGTACATATTCTACATCTATGTTTTGTTATTTTACGGTAATAAAAGTGCACTACAGGGCCATAAATATGTGGACACCCGAAACCTTACACCCATATGTCATTATTGAACATGATCATGAATCTGCTGCCATAACGGCCTCCACTCTTCTGGGAGGACACCCATTCAGCCTCATGAGCACTAGCGAGGTCAGCCACCGATGTTGGGTGACGACGCAGGCTCACGGTCGCCGGTCCCATTCATCCAAAAAGTGTTGGGGTCAGGACTTAAAAATATATTTCTTTTATTTCTTTAGTGCTCCAAATTACACAACAAAATACTTAGATAACAGCGAATCAAAATGTTTTCTGATGTCGTCTCTTACAAAACCTACACCGATCACTAGTCATGTTTTTTATGACATGAGACATCTTTGGTTAAGCTTGGGCACAAAAACGACTTGGTTAGGGAAAGGTGATGGTTCAAAGTACTTAGTTGACCCTCTCACGAATACTGGTCACTGCAGTGGACAGCTATCCAAAAGCATGTTTCTTATTTAAGCTTGGGTTTTGATGGTTGATTGCCAGTGCACACACTGCCAACCACTGGCCAGCCGTTGTAAGTGCAACACAAATTGCTCAAAACCAAGATGGCCGCTAGACTGCCAGAAACCAGACATGTGACCAACTCAGGATTATTTTGCCAATTCTTCTCGAGATTGGCAAAATCTCGAGCCAAATTCAACATCGATGCATTGGATTGACCAGTAGCCTAGAATATCTTAGAAAGTGGACATGTGGAAAAGGCCTTGAAAAATGCATGTTTTGAGAAAAAAAAGCTACTTGCAAACTCTAAAGAGGATTAAAGACTTAGCTGAAGTTCTCATAATTTAGGCATTAAAAATATTTCGGTTGACTTAAGGGTAGGGGACCAACTTCATCATGGTAACATTAAAAACCACTTTGTTACGTTTATGGTTTGAAAAAATCAACTTTGACTGTCCGTAGGAAACGGGACAGGAGAGTGGACTGTTGTGTAGCATTAACATAAATCCTCATTGCAACTAAATAGCTCAAATTCTAAAAAAAATGAATTGTGCATATCACAATTAGAAAAAAAATTATTTTTTCTACTTGTTGTGAAGACTTAAATAACATCTTAAAAGGACAAGAATCTGCCACTTGTCCACTTGATTCTAAATGTTCTGAGCAACGAATCATGCATTCAAAATGAATTCGTTATGGACAACTCCACCATGTTAATCTCTACCTCCTGCTCCCCCAGAGCATCCACCTGTCCTTTCTGCGGACGGTCCCTCCCTATTCCCACCAGGCGCACGTGTGGTTCGACCTGATGCGCGAGTTCAACTGGAACCACATCATCTTGATAGTGAGCGATGACCACGAGGGGCGGGCCGCTCAGAAGAGGCTAGAGACCCTCTTGGAGGAGAGAGAAACAAAGGTGAGATGCTCCGGCTCCCAGGCCCTCCTCCCCAGAGTGTGAGCATGAGAGCGCGTGAGTTGTCTAAAGGTTTTTTGAAACCTTAATGGTCTTCTATGTATGTAACTGTTTTCCTTTCTGTTGTGTGGCCACATCTCTCTCTCTCTCACCATTGTGTAAACATTGGCTAACATTCCGAGAGACATCAACAGCGTCTAATGTGGTCTAATCTGACGAAAGTTTGTACGTTTATTTGCTCATCTTCACGTTGCTTTTCGCCATAGTCCAAATTATCCAGTGTCTATCCACATTGGGAGCCAAATAGTGGACTTTATCTTGGGGCTTTGCAAACCATCACAGACTGAGGTGTTTTATTGGGGGCCGAGGCGGAAGACGGGTGTTCCTCTCAGCGCCCGATGAATGGCGGCTTCATTATTAGACACAGAGGCCTTGTGTTTATCGCACCCCCGCTAGCTCATGTTCACATGATATGGGAGATGGTTTTTCGCCTTTTCAGATACCGCTGATGCATCCATTTTGAGTGTAGCTCTGAGCAGTGTATGTGGGTCAGTGAAATGTTGATCTTCTTTGAGCCAAAACAGACTTGAAACTGCGATGATGTGTGCCCTTTAGGAACAGGGAGAGAGAGAGAGAGAGAGAGAGAGAGAGAGAGAGAGAGAGAGAGGAGGAAAAAAAACATCTATTCCATCCATTTAAAGAGGATACAATTACCTTGGGATATTTCTTTTCTTTCTTTTCTTTACTCTTGTGATGCTTGTCCCTCTCCGGGGCACTTTGCTGTAATTGTGTGGCAGAATGAACTGAAGCCTGATTCAGAGATTTAATTAAATTCGAAGCCGAGGAGACGCTGAATATGACACACATCCGAGGTAATTCACAGAAGGCGGCTACAGCTAAAGTGAAAGCTGCTTGAATTAAGTGACAGGGATTGGCATTGATTAACAGCCACCAGTAGAAAAAAACATTTCAAACATTTGGGTTAATCAAGTTGAACTGTGCAACAACATCCGCGAAGTTAAAACAATTATACTGAAGACATAATCCAGATGTGACTCACATCCTGCACTGAAGAAGACAAATCTGTGTATTAAAAGCCTTTGATGAGAACTGAGGAAGTTCCTTTGGATCTCAAAATGAACCCATCTGTGCTCTCCATTCAGGAAGTCATAATACTGAGCGAAGTAGCTGCAGCTCTCTCTAGTACGAGGCTTTAATCACCCATGTATTGAGTTAGGACTGCAGGGCCAGCTTCAGCAATTTTGGGGCCCTGAGCAGATTCATTTGAGAATTTCTCCGAAATGTGAACGGAAAACCTGGTCAACCTCAAAGGACGAGGTTGGTGATATCATGTATTTTTCTTACTGTCAACATATCTCACGAAAAGACCAAAGCCCAAACAACAAGTTCATCCTACTAACAAGCATTGTCTTCTTATCCAAAGGCGGACGTATCTTCTTCTTCTGTGCCATAGAGTTCTAACAGTGTTGCACTGGCTGACATGTTCCGTCATTACAATGAACAGTCACTGAAGTTTATATTGAGCTGATCCCACTTGCACCGTCCTGCTGTAAAAAAATCACTCGGGCCACCAAATGTGTATCAGTCCGCAGCTGAAAATAGTCCCCAACTAATGCACTAACACTACAGTGCCCAGCTGTTTAGGGAAATAACCGTGCCCTTTGAAACAAATTAAACCATGTATTTGTGGCTTGTTTTTAAATGTACGTCTTTAATGAAGAAGCAATGAACTGGAGTGCCAAAGACAGAATAGGGAATTCAAAAAGTCTGTAGAGACAGACTTAAACATTGTTAGGGATTTGCTCACAATAAGAAAACAATAATATAAATTTGGTACAGTTTCTTTCTTTTGGAAATTGAATATAAAAATGATATTAGAAAACAGAGGACATAATAACCTTAAGATGTACTCCTTAATTTTATATAATAATAAAAGCAACGCCAAATACTAAGGTTCGATGCATTTTGGAGATGTGCTGTTTGGCACCGTGAAATAATCAGGAGTTCATCTTTTAGATGCTGAAAATAAAATAAACAAAGGAACCAAAGAAGTTCCCATTTGTGATTTGTTTGTTGCCTACACGACCCCGCACAGCGGCGCGGCTCATCTCTCGGCTCGGCTCTGACTTCCCACATATGTGGCAACATCAGCAGGGTGATGACACCTGCAGTTCTTTTGCTGTACCGTAAATGCATTGACAGCTTTGATTGTGTCAGGTGATGTGAATGGCTTTTAGTTTGGATGTGGCAGACAGCAGTGTTTTGACATTATGCCGTAATTAAAAGCGAGAGGCGTTATTCTCGCTAATCAACCTGTTGTGCTGCATAAACTTAGGAAATTTACATATTGTTTTTAGGCAAGCGAGTAGCTAGCGAGGTCACAGGGGGATCACTGTTACCACCAGCATAGCTCTGGACACAGAGGATTTAGCCAGTGTGCAAACGTGACCAACACATGAAACATGAAATATTAATGCCTGGCCGAGGATATAAAAATAGAGCGCTCAGAAAATCTCTAGGGGGGGAGACAAAGACAGTTTTGTTTTTTGTCCGCAGTGCTGCTGAATGTTACTCGTGGAGAGGATTTCTACACGCTTATCTCAGTAAATGCCAGTTACATGGTAATTACATGGTAGTTAAAGTGTTATTATTGCCTCAACTGTGATTGAATGTACTCATCAAGGAAGTGAAATAAGTGGAATTAACCAGAACCCCACTGACAATTTGTAATGGTGTTTTCATAAAACAGGAAGACAAATGTTGGCTTGATATTATTCAGTTTGGATGACATGATTTCAGTTGTGATTATGATTCAGGATAATACAATTACCTCAACATTTAATTTTGAACGGCACTTATGTTATGACTTTATTACTGTACTGAGGCATTGGTCCCCGTCCACTTTGCGGAGGAAGGGAAACGGGTCCGGTGCACTGAAGTGTGAGCTGTGAAGCCAGCTGTGTAAGATAGAAACCCTGTGAAGCAGAGAGATGATGCGTCTCTCCTGCAAAATGGCTGCCAGTCTCAGGCAGGACTCCAGAGTGTCTCTTCTAACCGGACCGGAGTGGAATCTAAAATGGTGATGCCTCGGCTGCCCGAATCAAGTTCAACCTGAGTCAGAGTCAGTATGCTGTGCTGTGACCAAATGCCATACTGCATACTAATCACACACTGTATGTGCTATGTCATCTTTACACTCTACATACTTCACTTTTTTATACCAACAGGAAATGCTAGAAAACATGGATCAAACTGCAACTCTGGAATGCCACTGCCAACTTGATTTCACAAAGAGAGAGCAGAAGGTTTTTCAATTCATTTGAATGAATGAATGAACTAGCAGCTGTGATTAGAGCCTCCATTTCCATTTTCCGAGTAAATCATTGGCTCGAGTTTGTGACTTAAGCTTTTGCTTTGATTCAATTTGACTTGGTAATTATAGTGCAATTTGTTTAACCATTAAACATTGCAGTGGATTTCATGTCTGGCTTCTGGCCATGTGTTGTACCAATTCTGTCTGATCACACCAGTTCATAACAATAAGGATGGAGCTGGTGTCACCTCAACTGGATAGGTTGGATAGGTTAGCATTTTCCCAGTTCAGCTTTACAAGTTTACAAATCTTAAAACTTACAACAAGGTTTTCATACATTTTAAGACGCTGATCACTGGCGTGTTGGTGAAGTGTTAAAAATCTGATGGATGTCGTTGACGGCCATGTTGAGTTTGCAGTTGTGTGATGTTACTTTCCAGTATAGTGAAGAAGAAACGAAACCAGATGGCTGAGCTGCTGTTAAGCATTTTGCAATGATTATTGCTGGAGCCAGGGCGCTCTCCTACAGCGCTAAGCGATGCAGCCAAGTTGGCATCACTGACATACGCATTGAACACAATGAATACATTTACCTCATCCTTAATAGTATTTGATATCTTTAACAATCATCCACATTCTCAGCATTGTTCTAAAGCGGTCATCTCTGATGTTTTGCAAGCCCCACCGTTAAAGATCCCAATTTGAAGCAGAAAAGTGGAGATTTGTTGGAATGCTTTACTGCCCCCCATTTTCAACTGTTTATAATATTTTTCTGTGTCTGCATATTTTCTCTGTGCACATTACTCATCAGAATAAAAAAAGGAACTATGAAAACCTCGACCAACTGTCCTATGACAACAAGCGAGGACCTAAGGTATATTTGCATGGTCAATGCACGCCGCCCACCAACTTTCCAAACGTAGCAACTAGAAACCAGCCCAAACCAGTCACCAGCCGACCCAGAAATGTTCCTCTCTTGGTAGCACGTGTTTTCTTTAATTTTTGACTTTGAGACATTTCCCTATGATTTAAATGACGAATGATTTTGTTTTGAAAAATCTATAATTTTCGGTCATTACAGAAAAGAAAAAAAAAAAAAAGATCTCGAACAGCGCCTCGCTTTTTATCATTTTCATTTTCTCCTTCAATAAAGGAATGCATGAACTCAGAACACACATACTCACACACAAAATGAGTTTGCAAGTCCATTCCTTTGTGGAGAACCGGTAGTGTGGGACAAAACCGTCTCCCAGATGCTACTTCCTCCTGTTCTGTAGCACCTCCCTAGTTTTCAGCAGTTTTTTTGTTGGGGGAAAACGTCCCCCTCACCCCCCCCCCCCCCTCCTTCACCCGTTTTAGTTAATGGTTGCATTGACCTTCTTCTTCCCCCTACCTAACACATGCACGTCCTTCTTTGGAGCCTTGATAACCCTCAGTTTGCATGCGAACAAATGCAAAAGTTTTTTTTTCCCTTCAAGCTTTTTTTTTAAATCTTTTTTTTCCGTTCAGCCGGTTCCCCTGGATCGTTTTACTTTTTTATCCCTGTCTCTCGTTTTCAAACAAAATCGGCCAAGCTCGAACCAAGCAGGTAAAGAGGCAGCATGGCGTCTAAGGTAGGGAAAAGTAGCTGGCTTGACCTTTCTTATGCCCTGATCACAGGCAGAGAAAGTCCTCCAGTTCAGCCAGGAGACTAACTTAACTGCCCTGCTGCTGGAGGCGAAAGAGCTGGAGGCCCGAGTCATCATCCTGTCCGCCAGGTGAGATTTGTGTCTCTAATTACACATAAATTTCACCCAAAGTCCCAAAGGGAGCATTGATTAAGGTATCAAGCCTGCTTAAAACCGCCCTACATCCAAGAAAGAGCAGGGAAACAAGACCATTTCGATTGTAAAGGTGATGCTTAGACTAATTATTTTCATTATTAGTTAATCCACTGATCGGACTATAAAATGTCAGAAATTAATGAAAAATGCTTGTTACAAGTGAATGTCTACAAAAGTCACACATTTTATTTGGAACTGAGGATATTTTTGTATTTGTGCTTGAAAAATGTAGAACATAATTAAAAGATTATCAAAAAAGTTGGCAATTAATTTCCTGTTGATCGACTTATTGATTAATCAACTAATCATTTAGCTTAAACCTTATTCAATTTAAACCCTCTGCTGGATCCAGCTGTGGATCTTTATGTTCAGTTACAGTCAGCATCTGAATTATGTTCCTGTATATGACTATATATATGACTAT